CAGCTGCATGGTTGGGTGGATTTCTTCATTCTGTTACACAAACTGCTTTTCTTCTCCAGCTGCCATTGTGTGGCCCAAATGTACTGGACAATTTCTACTGTGACGTCCCTCAAGTCATCAAACTGGCCTGCACTGACTTTCACAAGGCTGAGCTCCAGATGGTGTTTAACAGTGGAGTGATCCTCATCAGCCTTTTTGTAATCTTGATTATTTCTTACATTGTCATCTTGCTTAAGATAAGGATATGCATTGTAGAAGGGAAGCGAAAAGCTCTGTCTACCTGTGGAACACAGATAACTGTTGTGAGCTTAATATTCATCCCCTCCATCTTCACCTATGCCCAGCCTTATAAGAAATACCCTGGGGAAAAGGTGGCCTCCATTGTTTACACTGTGGTCACTCCAATGCTAAACCCACTGATCTACACACTGAGGAACGCTGAGATGAAAAAGGCCATCAGGAGAACACTGGGGAAAATATTTCTGTCAGCAGGAATGCAGAAACCAGAGCAGACAGTAGATCCAAAGACATCAAATCTGGTGTTCTCACAACAAAACTGTGATCACCACTGATGTTCCTGCTCCTTCAATAAGTGAGCAACTTTCTAGATGTGAGGTGGGGACAACATTCGCCTCCCATCAGTTTAGGAAGGTCAGTCACATGGAGTGTGCAGCATGGTGGAATGTCTAGGGCCTAATAAAAATCTGCAGTAGATCACCTGCAAAGCCATCTCCATGACACACCAAACCCTAAACCAGTACAAACACCCTGGCACTGACCGTGCAAGGGCCCTTCCCACAGCCCCGTTCTCTGCTCTGGAAACCACAGCTGAGCCTTGCTCTGCAGCATGTCTCACTTCTCTTCAGCACTCCTCTGTGCTTTTATCTCTAAGTTAGCACTGATGCCTTACTGACTTGCAAATAAAACAACACACTTTGGGGATAAATATTTGTATGGGGGGGAATATAAAGGTTGGTGTTTCTTGGAGGCCTCCAGGGGCAGACAGGGAAAATGTCCACAAAATGCTCATGCCCCACAGAGTTTATAAGTTTAGCAAATAAGCGTAATTGACAAAAATCACCAATTAGGAGCACAAGAGGTGGTGCAGTTTTCCCCAGTTCAACTTTCTCTGAATCTTCCCCTCTCAGACAAAAACTCAACTTTGTTTATAGAAATAAGTTTGGAAGATGTGGTTCCTAGGGAGAGCTAAGATGGGTTAGGGGCCTTGAAATGTGTTTTATCTTTCTGTCTATCAGGGCAGGGAAAAGTACTGGGAAAACTATACAATGATAGGCTGCAGGGATATAAATATATGTACAATGAGTAGAGAGAATATACAAAAGAAAAAAGGAACAAAATCAATTTGGCATCAGCACAATGGCATCTGCGCATTCCTGCATTAGTAACTTCAGTAATGTAACTTCAGTAACTTCATCAGCAATGCTGAGATAGTGAAAAAAGCATTCTGAAAATGCTTTAGAGGGAGAAAATTCTCAGATCTGTAAGGATTATTTAGGTCTAGAGCTGTTTGAGTTTAATTCCCTTAGAGAGACAAGTGAGAAATGAAATCCCTCTTGACAGTAGAAACAAAAATCTCCCACAAAACATATAAACAACTGATAGGGAGAGAAACTGCTAAGAGGAAGTAGAGCTCAGAATAATAAAAGGAAAAAAAAAGAGAAAAGAAAGTAATAAAAGCAAACGAGAAAAAACCTCCTTATGTGACTTTCTGATGCTTTGTTAAAGGTCAAAATTTCATGTCATGTCTTGAAATAAAAACATTTCTCAATATTCTTTATTTTCTCCATTCTTCCTTCCTTCCATGGAGAGCTGAAGGCTGTGCTGGCTGTGTGTGTAAATTGAGTGATATTTATTTATTTATTTCTCTAACTGCAAATCCTGACCCATCTGCCTGCCCAAATGTCAGCACTGGCAGCAGAGGCTGCACCCAGACTGCCTCTGATCTGAGCTGCTGCACTCACTGCCTGCTGGGAGAGGAATATTTGTGCCAGAGACTGGGGAAGGGTTTGTCTCTGCATCCTTTAGCTAAAGTTTTCTCTGTCTCTTCAGTGTGCTGGCTGCTTCTGGCTCCAGGGGTGATAATTATGGAATTGTGGAATCAGCTGTGGTTCTGGAGTGCTAACTCGGGTGCCATGGGGTCTTAGTTAAAGCTCTACGATGCATGAATTGATTTGTAATTATTTATTGTAATTATTATTTCCTGTAACTTATATAATTCCTGAACATATACAATTCTTTTAGAAGCCATTCTCTAGAATTCTCCAGATCACTTATTAATTCAAGAAATCAAACCTTTCCTTTCCTTTCCTTTCCTTTCCTTTCCTTTCCTTTCCTTTCCTTTCCTTTCCTTTCCTTTCCTTTCCTTTCCTTTCCTTTCCTTTCCTTT